GGCCACTGGCTCAAAAGTGGTTTAAACTTGGGGTGGGACAGGTTCCCTGCTCTAGTCTTCCCGCTGACTTTCTGAGGGAAATGTGTGTGTGTGTGGGGGGGGGGGGGGGGGTGCTCCGGGCTCGGTTCCAGGAGGGAGGTTAACCCCTAAAGGAAGGTTGTGGAAAGGGGAAAGGGAGGGGGGGAAAAAAGGAGAAAGGGAAAGAAGGAGGGAGAGAGAAAGGGAAAAAAGGAAGGGGAAAGAAAAAGGAGCACACCTCCAGGGGAAACCATTTTCTCTAGCAGACCCCGTTTTCAGCCAATCCTCACCCAGGGACCAATTTTAAGGATGAGCACAGGAGCAGTTTATGATTTAAACAACAACAACACTTTTTATTGTGGTAAAATATTCATAGCACAACATGTATCACTTTAGGCGTCTTTCAGTATACAATTCAGTGGCATTAAGTACATTCGTGAGGTTGTGCAACCCTCACCACCGTCCATTTCCGGAAGTTTTTCATCATCCTAAACCGGAACTCTATCCATTAAGCAGTAACTCCCCCCTTCCTCTAACCCTGGGAACCACTCTCCTACTTTCTATCTCCATGAACTTGCCTACCCTAGGTACCTCATGTACGTGGAATCATACAATATTTGTCCTTTTGTGCCTGGTGCATTTCGTTTACTATGTTTTCATGGTTGATCCATGTTATATATCAGAATTGTATTGCTCTTTAAGGCTGAATACTATTCCATGGCATGTATAGACTACATTTTGTTTATCCGCTGATGGACCCTTGGGTTGTTTCCACCTTTTGGCTGCTGTGAATAATGCTACATGAACACTTGGCATACAAGTATCTGCTCAAGTCCCTGCTCTCAGTTCTTTTGGGAGTGGAGTCGCTGGAGCATATGATAATTCTATGTTTAGTTTTTTGAGGAGCCACCAAACTGTTTTCCCTTTCGTTTACTCAAAGATGAAGGCACTCAGTCCTGCCCTAGGTGTGTGGGAGGGGCCCCGGCGGAGAAGTAGACAGACCCGCTGGGTTCAGTCAGGCCACCTGCAGTGCAGTTCCCTGCTCTACCCGGCACTGCTGTGGGGCAGGTGTGATCCAAGGCTGCACATTTTCTAGTCCTGCGTGAATTACACTGTGGCTAGGAGGTCGCTAAAGGATATTCTCCAAGGGATAAGGGGTAGGAAGGAAGGAGGAAGTTCCATGGGAAGGCAGAAAGATGGTGGACACTGACACTGAAGCGCTCAAGACACTGACCGGAGTGACAGAATGGCCTAGGTCAGTGGTTCTCAACCTGTGGGTCGCGACCCCTTTGGGGGTGGAATGACCCTTTCACAGGTGTCGCCTAAGACCATCGGAAAACACATATATAATTACATATTGTTTTTGTGATTAATCACTATGCTTTAATTATTTTCAATTTGTAACAATGAAAATACATCCTGCATATCAGATATTTACATTACGATTCATAACAGTAGCAAAATTACAGTTATGAAGTAGCAAGGAAAATAATTTTATGGTTGGGGGTCACCACAACATGAGGAACTGTATTAAAGGGTCGCGGCATTAGGAAGGTTGAGAACCACTGGCCTAGATGGAGCCAGGGGTGGCAGGGAGGGCAAGGAACGGATGAACTGACCAACCTGGAGCAGCTTGAACCCAGAGTTGGTCTGGGTTTGAATCCCAGCTCTTCTCTTTAATAGTTTAGGCCAGTGGTTCTCAACCTGTGGGTCGCGACCCCTTTGGTGGTCGAATGACCCTTTCACAGGGGTCGCCTAAGACCATCCTGCATATCAGATATTTACATTACGATTCATAACAGTAGCAACATGACAGTTATGAAGTAGCAACGAAAATAATTTTATGGTTGGGTCACAACATGAGGAACTGTATTTAAAGGGCCAGAAGGTTGAGAACCACTGGTTTAGGCAATGAACTTAACCTCCCTCAGGTTCAGTTTGCTCGTCTGCACGAAAGTCATGAGGATGAAAGAAATCTTGTCTGTGAGGTGATTCCCTCGTGCCTGGGAATCAGGACCTGTGTTCCCTCAAACCCTGAGCATCAAACCCAGATGCTGTCTTAGACTGGGAAACGCTTTCCTCGGCCACCAGTTGTAGACATGGACTTTATCACCGGGGGCTTGATGCAATTTGCATTTTGGCAGCCTGTCTACTGTCTCCTTTCTCTCCAGACCCAATGCTTTACCTTCCTGGGACTGGTAGGTGGGGCTTTCCCACTAGGCACAAAACTGGCTTTTAAGACAAGGGTACATTCTTTTCTTAAATCAATAAAAATAGAAAAACAAGCCAACAGCAAACCTCAGCTATTCTGGGCAAAACTTCCAGACACCATTGGGGGTGGAAACTTACTGTAGCGATCCAGTTTGATTTACTGAAAGGGGTTCACTCTCCAGGCCGACAGAGATCGAAGGGAGAAGCAAGGTGAAAACACTTTGAGGCCACAACCTTATAAATGTAAATTATTATGGTTCATCATGCAAACAGAAAATTAAATGTTTGATAAGTGAGCTTATATCCAAGTGGACACGTCTTCCTGTTTGCCCACCTTTCTCTGCTCTTCCTGGTGCTGGGGCCTGGTGCTCAGCTCAGCTTTCTGCTCATCCTTGCTGATTTAATTCAATGAGCCGACCTGCAAACACAGCCAGGGTTCCGATGATACAGACGAGCATGAAGACTCCAAGGAGAATGTGGTCCATCACCATTGCAACATACTTCCATTCCTCAGCCGCCTGGGAGGGAGGAAAAGGTTAGAATTTCCTTAAGGTGGTCATTCGGCCCACAGTGCAGGTTACGCATCTTTCACAGCCATTTAACTTGTAGGTCGCAAAGCCCTCAGCATCCTTCGGCCGGCATTGCGATCTTCATGTGTTGAATAGGTTACTCAAAATGCTGACTCACTGAGGTGGCCGAGAGGCGGTCACCAGGCTTCCCTTAGGTCAGTAGCTGCCTCTGAAACCCCACCCTGCCCATCAACCCCACCCACCCACCTGCACTCGAGCATTTGATTCTTTAAACCCAGAGGCGTGGGTTTCAAGCCACGGAGCTTACGTTGTTGGACTCCTGGTCTGACTTCATGGTCTCTGCGATGTACTTGATGCCCTCGATGGCACTTTTCACCTCGGGGTGCTTGATCAGGGGAGAGTGGAAGGCCGGGGGTGGAGGCCCCGGCTTCCCAGAAATGTCGGAAATGTCAATGTCTTCGGTGAAGATCTTTTTGTCTTGTTTTTCTCTGGACGGCCTTTTCATTGTGGAGAAGAACATGATATTTGGGATGGTGTCGATAAAAACCTACCGTTGGAAAAGAAATCCATTTATGAGAATAATGGTCAGCAAGGCAAGCGTCAAACTCGGACTTTGAATTAGCAACGTAACTTTAGGCAAGTCATTCAGCTTCTCTGGGCCTCCGCCTCTTTGTCTTTAAAGCAAAAGGACTCTACTCGATTTTCTCAGAGATTCCTTCATATTAGTACATACATAGCCTGAGGCCTGTGGAATTACAGTGGTTAACGGTGCCGATTCTGTCATGTGAGCATGTCGCCACTGGAGGGCGCCTGTATGCAGCTGTTGAACTCCGGAGAAACAGTGATGCTTGGCTTCTGGACCCCCAGCAGCCTTGCTTCTTTCAAGATCATATGGTTAAAGAAAAAGTCTCTCAGGATAAAAATACAGCCCTGACTGGTTTGGCTCAGTGGATAGAGCGTCGGCCTGAGGACTGAGGGGTCCCAGGTTCGATTCCAGTCAGGGGCATGTACCTTGGTTGCAGGCACATCCCCGGTGGTGGGTGCAGCTGATCGATGTTTCTCTCTCATTGATGTTTCTGACTCTCTATCCCTCTCCCTTCCTCTCTGTAAAAAGAAATCAATGAAATATATTTTATATATATATATAGCTCTGGCCCCACAAAACAGCTAAACTATTTTCTTTCATTTCTTGTTTCTGAAAAAATGCAAGACAGGTATTGCCAGAAGTCACTTAACATGTTAAGCGCCCAGCCTGTTTTGTCTTCCAGACGGAAAGACAAAACAGGGACCATTAATACAAACAGGGACCATTTCTTTCAAAAGAATACATTGTGAGCAGTGGTTTCTGTCAATTCATGACAAATATTTTTAATTTTACACAAAAGATCCTGGTCATTTGTGTGTCTGTGAAGTTTTATATAAAAAACAACAACAACTGACATTTGAAACGTAAACACATTTTACATTTCAAAAATGTAAATACTTGAGACCAAGTTTCCCATTGGAACTCGCTTTTGACCATCTCTCATCAAGCCTCCCCTCCATCTCTAGCCCTATTGTCTGCAGATGATTCCACCAGAAAAAAATAAGCAACCTCTTCACGAACTGCAAGCCATACAAACAGAAACCACAAGAATTTCCCAGCATTTGAATAAAAAGGACAGTGATTTATTTATCGTCGCTAATTAAAGAGGTTCTTAAAGCTTGAATTAGAGGTGAGCTTTGTTAATTCTGGTTTTCTTCTCTCTCTGAGGAAGCTATGTGGGTTATTTATCTCTAGAAAGAGGCCCAAGAATGTTCCTTCCAAAAATGCCTTACAGCCCAGAAAGGACTTTCAGCTCTGAGTACCCACAAGGGTGAGCAGAATTCCGCCGGCCACGGGGACAAGCGGGGGAGGAAGCCCTGTAGATGCCCTCGAGGGGACAGCGGACCTGTGTGGAGCTTGCAGGGGCCTCACTCACTCACCTTCCGCACCCAGTCGGGCATGACGTGGGTGCTGGGGGAGCGGTGGTGGGTGTTGATGACGATGACGGTGATGATGATGGATGCGATGACGAACACCATGGTGAAGAGCATGTATTTCCCAATCAAGGGCACCGCGCTGGAGGTGGAGGGGATCAGCTCCACGATGACCAGCAGGAACACGGTGAGGGACAGCAGCACAGAGATGCTCAGGGTCATCTTCTCTCCTGGACAAAATGGAGACGAAACACAACCGCCCACCTGTTACGGCCTGAACGGTTGCTCCTCTCAAATTTATATGTTGAAGCCCTAAGCCTCAGCACTCAGTGACTGTTTGGAGATGGGGCCTTTGAAGAGGTAATTAAATTAAAACTAGTGACCCGGTGCACAGATTCGTGCACATTGAAAGGAAATTAATTAGAAGGTGGTTGGCAGGGTGGGACTGGGCAAGACGGGCCAGACATGCCCTGGAACCACTCTCCCATGGTCCCTCCCCGGTCGACTGCATCTGGGGTGGCACTGCTCGAAGGGCGCCTGCAGAGTGAGCGGGGTCCCATGGCAGGTGGGTCGCTTGGCCTGGCCTGCCAGGATTGGGCCAAACCCAGCTCTCCGACATCCCCTGAGGGGTCCCGGAGTGCGAGAGGGCACTCTGCAAAGTTGGTGTCGTACAGGGTATGGAACGCAAATACAAGTGTGCAGTAAACCAGATTCGGGGCCAACAGTGCCCCAGCAACAACATAACTCCCAGCCGAAGATGGAATCGCACAGCCCTATGAGGAATCGGGCTTCCCTCCTCTCTGGTTTCGGGTGCGTCACCCGAGAACCACCGCTGCCAAGTCACTGCAGCTCGGCAGTTCCTGCATTGAGCATCTGCTCCCTGGTGGTCAGTGTGCATCATAGCGACCGGTCAGATGGTCAGACCTTAGCACATTAGCCTTTTATATATATAGATGAGGTCTCAGGGTGGGCCCTCATCCAACTTGACTGGTGTCCTACAAGAGGGACACAGATACACACAGAGAGGAAAGACCAGGTGAGGACACGAGGAGGAGACTGGCATCTGTGAGCCAAGGAGAGAGGCCCCAGAGCAAACCACCCCGGCTGATACCTTGATCTCGGACTTCCAGCTTCCAGAGCTGGGAGACCGGAAATGTCTGATTTTGAAGCTCCCCAGTCTGTGTCCTTTGCTCTGGCTGCTCTTTCAGACCAAGACCCCACTGAAACCCTCGGGTGAGAGGCGTGTGACAGGCATTTCTCAAAGCGTCATTCTGGGGACACATTTTGGGCAGAGTCTCCTGTGAGACCTTGGCACCTTAACTCCACAGACACGGGCACGCGGCAGGTGTTTTCATTAGAGGCCGCCAGGCAGGAAACGGCGGCTTCACCTCCCGCCCCAGAATCCCACTTCTTGGTGGAGCCCAGGGAGCCAAGGTACATGCTAGACCCGGGTGGCGGTTTTCCCATCTGTAGCAGAACGTCGTCAACCTCACAACACTGAACCGCGGCCTGGCCTGCTCCTTACCCTGCCGGTGGGTGGGCAGCCAGAGGCTCATGTATAATTTTCTCATGATGAGAGCAAGGGTAAGACCCAAACTGAGAAAACGAAATCAGTGATATCACACCATGGACTTTCGTCTAAAGAGGAGGATTGTTTTGTTTTGTTTTGTTTTGTTTTTTCATATGAAGGGACCAGGGAGTGCTCTGCCCCGCCTCCTTTCTCCAGGCCCTACAATTTCAGGGTGAACGATTCCCTGTTGCAGTCTTGGTTAGGCAAGAATGGCAAATGAGAAGGGCGGGCTGAAGGGCATTGGGATGCTTTTGTGGGGACCGCCACCTTAGGTGCAGGGGAGAGCCTTCCCTTGGGCTGGTCTTGCTGTTTGTGTCCTGGGAAACCCCCGTGCTATCCTGCTTTCCAGTATGGAGCTCTCCCTGTGCCCCCTCCCCCCCACCCACTCCCACACAGGATGCTTCCAGATGCTGGGAGTGTATGCAGGATACAGAGCAGGTGCAAACAAGAAGTTAGCAGTCTACCTTGTGAGTGGAATTCTACCTAGTGAGGAGGAAAGCCTTTAAAAGTGAAAAAGAAGACAGAATTATAAATATGAAATACTGATCAACTTACATCCCATTTCTTGATTAATAATAGTGATAATAATAATAGTTAACATTCATCAAGTATCTCACTGTTAAAAAATACTTTCCAAGCATAAATCATGTATAGAAACTGTGAGTAGTTTTTATATTGCCTGACTATTGCTTTCTCTCTTTACTTTAAGTAGCTTCATTTGACTAGAAAGTTGAAGAAATATTTGTTTGTGATCATTTGTTTAAAACTAAGTACAATCACTAGAACATAGATTCTGTAGGGGCTAATTCTGCCTTCTTTTCCACTGTATTCCTGCTGCCTAACAGTTGTTCAACAAGTACTGTATGCTGAATGAATGAATGCATAGTCTTTTTTTTCCTTGTTGGAAAGTTGGGTTTAGACTTTTGTGAGTTTTTTTCTTATAATTTTGAGAAAATTTGACTTGTCATAAGTTTGAGGACTGTCTGTACCATCTGCCCTCCCCCCCCCCCACACACACACATACACACTTGTCAGTCATAACTTGCTTATGATTAGGGACCTGCTGGCAGATGTATAGAGACCCTGTTCCTGTTTTTTTGTCCATTGCTGTTGTTTGGTGAGATGTGCTGACTCAGTGGGAGGTAAGCTGTGTGGGCTTATAGGTGAGGAAGCACTGTCACTTGGGGAGTACAGTCTTGTGCACAAAGACACTGCCCTCTGGGAAAAGATTGGCAAAAGCTATTTTCAAGTGGCCAGCAGTGGCAACAGAGGCAAGACCTGATTGGTCAATGTAGAGCAAGTGACTGCCCAGGGGAAATGGCATGAGGTATGTCTGTGATCCATGCCTTACCCAGCACACAGTAGGTATTCAACAAGTAGGTATTGGTGATTATTTCCTTTAAGTAGACTGAGCTATGTATGTGCATCTTCAAGGTCTCGTTCAACTCTCTCACCACTATACATGGCCACTCCGTAAGCATGCCCTCGGAGGGGTGATGATTTGAGTCTGTCTGCCTGTATTTGTTTATTAGCCTATAATTATTTCTGCCTTTTCCTGAAACAGCAGCACAAGACCTGTTAGCATCAGCAGCCACAGCCATGGCAACGGCACCCACCTGAGTCTGTGGGCAGGTAGAACACCAGGCCGGTCAGGAAGGAGAAGAGCAGGCAGGGAATGATGACGTTGACGATGAAGTAGAGGGGCAGGCGCTGCATGACGAAGTGGTAGGTGATGTCCAGGTAGGGGGTGGAGGGGCAGCAGGCGTAGAACACCCAGTGCTTCCAGCCCCGGGACTCCTTGATCACCCACTCCCCGCTCTCCATGAAGTTGCTCAGGTCTGGCTTGTCGCTTTCCTGAGAAGATGAAATAAAACTGAAAACCCAGCCACGTCACCCCGAGGAGGACCAGGGTTTCGCAATCACCTGCGACAAGGCCACAGATCCCAGCGCTGGTACATACCCAGGTGGGACTCTGGGTCACTCCCACTTTTGGGTCTCAGGTTCCTTTCCTATCAAATGAGGGTGTTGGAGCTACTGGAATTCTCCATGTTGGTTATACATTCAAGTCACCTAGGAGCTTTAAAACATGTTGGTGCCCTAGCCCCATCCCAGATGGATTAGACACATATTCTTGGGACTTCATTTTAGCGTCCAGGTGATTCTCACAGGCAGCACATCAAGAGCTTAACCAACCAATTGAGAGCCATCCAACTAGATGGTCCCCCAGGCTCTCAATGGTGCCGAGAGCCTCTGATCACGAAGGGGCAGAGGTGAAGACCTGAGTCATGCTTCGCCTGAACCCAACCTCAGGACGCAAGGTCACCACCTACCGGGTTGATGGCCACCACGGAGCCATCGTAGGTCCAGGTGCCCAGCTTCATGCTGCAGTTCTGCTCATCAAAGGGAAAGTGGGTGACGATGATCTCACAGTAGCTTTTGAAGATGGCCGGGGGTGTCCACGTGACGTGGCCAGTGTAGTCCAGGAGCACTTTGGTGAACTTGACGATGGCAAAGTCACCATCTGCACTACGGTGGGACCAAAGGGGAGACAGAGGTTAATTACTCGGGCGTTAATTATAGAAGCTGTCTTTCAGGCAGTGTCGATTCTTGTCTGTGTCAGTGTTTCCCAAGTTTGACTGATAACAAGAATCTCTGGGGTGCATGTTAAAAGACAGATTCCTGAGCACCATCTAAGCAGGAATCAGATTACCTGGGGAAGAATCTGGGAATCTAGTTTTAAAGAAATATCAGGTAACACTGACCCACTGCATCCCAGATCTTTTTCTTCTCAGTGCTTTCTAGTATTGGTAATCATCTCCATCTATCCCCTCCCTCTATACTTCGAAAGTTAACTGGGGAAAACCTAGGAATCTAAATATATAAAAGCCTAAGCGACTGAATGACCGAATGACCGGTCAACCGGTTGCTAGGATGCACACTGACCACCAGGGGGCAGACACTCAATGCAGGAGCTGCCCCCTGGTGGTCAGTGTGCTCCCACAGCCAACCTCCCATGGCAGGCTGCCCCCCCCAAATTGGCCCCAATCAGGGGGGGCGGCCAACCTCCTATGGTCCCTCCCCCTGGCTGGCCAGCACCCCCATTGACCCCGATCGTGGCCAGGCCCCCACCCGTGCATGAATTCATGCACCGGGCCTCTAGTTTTAAATAAGAACACATCCAGTGGCTCATTACTGTGACAAGCAGGTTAAGGAAGGTGTCCAATACCTTTCTGAGAACTATTTAGGACTCAGTGGGGTGGGATCACACACTCAGATGCTTCTAGAGCCAGGCAGGCGAGGAAGGAGGGAGGGGTGAGGCTGTGTGAAGGGATAGCCTCTCTTGCCTCTGACGAAGGTGCCACTCAGTTCTGCCTGTGCTGTCCCGATGGGAGAAAAGGCCCAGTGTGGCCAGATATTTAGATTTTTCTTTAGAAGCTAAAAATCTACATTTTAAAACCCAAAGTTTCCATATTCTTGAATGTTGAAGTTTTCTAGAGACGCTAAAAGCCTGGATTTTGATGTGATATTTTCAAATATTGGCACTAATTTCTTGTTCAAAAATATCCAACATGGTAGAGATTAAAAATAACAAAAGGCCACTTCTGCAGGCCTTGTTCCGTGAGCAGTCCGCTTGTCCTGCAAACAGCCTGTGTCCAGGCCTTGGCCAAGGGCAGGGCGCGGTGTACACAGGTGGCTGGGTCTGCCTTGATGACTCTCAGGGACATGAATCAGGAGGTTTTTCTTCCCATTGAGTTTTCCTCGGGATGGAGGTGGGCTCTCTCCAGAAAACTGCGCTATTGGGCCTTTCCAAGGAGCAGAGGCCACAGGACCTCCCAAGTCTCTCCCTCTCGGCCGGTCGACAGGGTTCTTCCCCCAACAGGTGTCCCTGAACAAGCTTGTTAATAGGACCTCGCTCACATTCTTACTGGAAGAGAAACTTAACCAACACGAGACACTTTGCCCAATGAGCACACTTGTCCGAAAAGTTCACACAAATGATTGGATAATCTGGATCCCAGATTATAACTGGAAAAGCTCGAATCCCAGTTATAACGGGAAAATATGCAGGGAGAACATTGAAGTAGGGGTGATCGGCCATACAGGGTATCATTCCCACTCACTAGCCGTGGCCACCTTCCCTGGTAAGTGTGCAGCACACACAGCCTCTCGCCCCAAACATGCGGTGGAATCAGGTGCAAATCCTCCAGGCCAGTGCTCTGTGCTCTGCCTGGGACGGATGCACTTTGAATGCACATTCCCTGGCCAATGAGAGTGTGTTAATGAGCATGTCGTGAAAGCAGAGTGCCTTGAATCACATTTAATTTCATGGCATGTGGTCTGTCACAGAGCCTATGGGTGGGCCACATGCGCTCCCTGGGCCATCAGCTGCCTGGCATCTTGTGATGCCACGAGGGTATGACGAACAACAGCTTCAGGAGGTCCAGACCAATTGGTAGGAAGGACATTTAATTCCAAGGAACTCAATTACAGGAGGTTTGGGTCCCTTGGATAGTTGCCACGCACCCTGCGGGAGCTCTCAGGGATGAAATGTCCCTCACCCACAGCCCTGATTCAATTTGATTCGGATAATTGTTTCCCTTCATAACATGAGACGCCATATGGCCCCTAGCATGTCAGCTTGGCTCTGGGCTCCTGAAGCACACCGAGAGGTGGCCTTCTGTTAGGGCATTGGCTCCCCTCCCCAGGAATGCCCCTCCCCGTCCAGCCGTCTGTCTCGCTTACTTGTTATAGAGAACCAAGTCTGGGCGCCAGATCTTTTCGGAGGGAATGTGAATCTTTTTCACGCCACCGTAGTCGTCTGGATTCCATTTTAGGTTGTAATCCACCCATTGCTAGAAATGAAAACTTTTCGCTGATTAGAAAGCTAAACACCTTTTTAAAACAATCGAGTTATCAAGAGCTCTGATGGGCATGATCATTCAGATAGCGACAGAAACTGTGCTCTGGTAAGAAAGGTTTGATTCAGAATTCAGCCTTCACTTCAGCTAACAACACCAGCTAACACTTGCACTGATTGGCTACATTTGGGCACAGTTATAAGCAGGTTACCGATAACCATGGTTCAGTCCTCACAAAAGTCCTGGGACGTAAGAGTGGTCATTGACCCCATTTTACAGATGGGAAAGCAGCGGTACCTGCAAGTCTCAGCGCTAGGTGATGGCAGATCCATCATGCCACATGTGCCCACCCCACAAAAGGAGAGTGACACAATTTGAACATTTTCCTCAAGAAGGCAGCACCATTTTTACAAGTATTATTCTTCCTATAGTATAAAAGTAATATGTGCCCCAGGAGGCAACTTCGGATAACACAATGTTATGGATCAAATTACATCTCCCCAAAATTCAGTGTTGAAGTCCTAACCCCTGGTACCTCAGAATATGACCTTATTAGGAGAGAGGGTCTTTACAGAGGTAATTATGTGAAAATGAGGTCACTAAGGTAGGCCCCACCCGATACGAGTGATGTCCTTTTAAGAAGGGCGGGTTTGGCCCTACCCGGTTTGGCTCAGTGGCTAGAGCATTAGCCTGCGGACTGAAGGGTGCGGAGTTCAATTCCGGTCAAGGGCAGATGCTTGGGTTGCAGTCTCGAACCCCAGTAGGGGGCGTGCAGGAGGCAGCCAATCATGATTCCCTCTCAGCATTGATATTTTTCTCTCTCTCCCTCTCCCTTCCTCTCTGAAATCAATAAAAATATATTAAAAAAAAAAAGCACAGGTCTGCCTGAAGAGGCAAAGGTGGCCAATTAAAAAAAGGGGGGGGTGCATTTGAAGATGGATACATATTCAGGAAGAATGCCATGTGAACATGCAAATGGGCAAAGGAGGGAGGGCTGAAGCAGAAGAAACCCATCCTATCGACACCTTGACTTTGGACTTTGGCTTCAAGAACTGCGAGACAATGTATCTCTGTTGTTTGAGCCACCCAGTTTGTGGCTTTGTTATAGCGGCCCTAGCAGACTAATACACACAGAAAAAGCACAATGCTAAAAACAAACACACACCAACACATGTGATCCATAATCCCGCCACTCCCAAATATCTACTCTAACACTTTGGTATATGCTTCTTTAGCCCAAATTGATTTACTCTGGGCCCAGGTTAAATTTCAGGGTGAAAACAAACAACACAAACGCAATCATCTAGTACCTGTTTGAGTCGAACATTGGTTGTCACGATCTGATTGACTTCATCCTGAAAAAAGACAAGACCCATGTTTAGGGGGCAGAGAGGGGAGCCGAGGGGAGGATGCTGGGGGGAGGGGGTTGCCGTGGGAGCCCGGGCACGCTGTCTCACCACGTTGATGAGCTGTATCAGCTGCAGGCCCACGGTGACCTCCACGGCCTGGCGGTGGTCCTCCACTGGCCGCACCACTTTGTTATATTGTTCAAATAGCTTTGCCACCAGACGGGTCTCGTGCTCAGAGCCCAGGACCAGGCCAGCTGAGGAAGCAAATGGCAGGCATGCTGTCAGATTCTGCTCCTCGCCCCCACGGACACGGACACGAGCACCTGAGGCTGGCCAGCGAACAGAAGGCACGCAGGACCCCTGGTTGAAGGGCTCCCACGTGCAGCTAGTGTTGCCTGCCGTCCTGTCCAGGCACAGCTGCTGGTGCGGTCCCTTCTCCGTGGGGCGTGCCAGATTAGCACGACACTTGCCCTTTGGACAGCTGACATTCCTTAATCCCGCTTCTGGCTGCCTCATCTTTGCGAGGAACATGTACACGCAGGAAGAAGGGTCCCCACCAAAGCCAATCTCAGTGCTTCAGAGTCTGGTCCTGGCGTAATGAAATCTCGAACTGGCTGGCCTCAGATGCTAGGGACAGCCCACAGTCAATGCGGGGTCATACCCATTAGGATGGCCATAATCAGCAAAGGTGGACATGACAAATGTTGGTCACACAGGGGAGAAACAGGAACCCTGAGATGTTGCGGATGAGGGTGTAAAACGGTGCAGTCACCGTGGAAAACATTTTGGTGGTTCCTCACACAAGTTATATGGAATTAGCATACGGAATACCTATTTCACTTCTGGGTATATCTCAAAAGAATTGTTTATACAAAATCTTGTACCTGAATGTTCATAGCAGTATTATATACAATAGTCCATCCCTAGGTAAGTGGGCGAACAAATTGTGGTTTAACCATGCAGTGGACTATTATTCAGCCAGAAAAAGAAATGAAGTATTGATTCATGCTACAACATGGATTAACCTTGAAAACATGCCGAAACTGGTTTGGCTCAGTGGATAGAGCGTCGGCCTGCGGACTGAAGGGTCCCAGGTTCGATTCCAGTCAAGGGCATGTACCTGGGTTGCGGGCACATCCCCAATGGGAGATGTGCAGGAGGCAGCTGATTGATGTTTCTCTCTCATCGATGTTTCTAGCTCTCTATCTCTCTCTCCCTTCCTCTCTGTAAAAAATCAATAAAATATAAAAAAAAGAAAAGAAAACATTATGCCACATGAAAGAAATCAGTCACAAAAGAACACATATTGCATGATCCCATTTATAAGAAACTAGAGGCCTGATGCACAAAACTTGTGCAAGGGGCTCAGCTCTTGCAGCCCCGGCTTTGTCCAGAAGGTCATCCGGACGGTCATTCTGCTGTTTGGCCATTCAGTCGATTTGCATATTACGCTTTTATTATTATAGATGTCCAGGATAGAAATTAGTGGTTACCAGGGCCTGGAGGGACAGGGGCCTGGGGAGAGACTGCTCATGGGTGCAGGGTTTCCTTTTGGGGTGAAAAAGTTCTGAAACTAGACAGGGGTGATGGTTGCGTAACATTTTAAATACTTAATGCCACTAAATAGTTCCCTGTAAAGTGGTAATTTTATGTAAAGTGTATTTTACTATGGTAAATTTTATATCGTGTGTATTTTACCATAATTTAAAAAATACTGCTGGTGGGTACATCTCCCAGTTGAGTTGTTAAGACAGAGTGAAAACTGTGCTTTACCAACCTGAGTTTGGGGCTCCGATTTGGAGCACGAGTGACTCCAAGAAATCTTTACTGCGTTTTCTTTCAGGATGAAGAGCAGTATCATCAGTACTCCTGGGGCTCAGAGCCCTTTTATGGCCAATGCTATGTGGTCCTCACCAGCTTCCGGGGAGGCAGGCAGGCAGGCTGGCTGAGACTCAGAGGTTGGCCGACCTGTGCAAGGTCACGCGGCTGGGGCAGAGCGGGGATTAGCGCCTGTCACGCTGCCTGGTGCTCCTGCACTAACTCTTAACATCATGGGTGAACTGTGGCTGTCTTGGAAACTGCTCAACATTATTCCAACGAGAAAAAGTGTTCCAGATTCCAGCAAATGCCTTGTGAAGGGTCTTTGTAACTCAAACCTAGGGTGGATGGGGGACTGACTGCCTGTTCAGGGCTGGGAGAGGAAACAGACACACGATCCGTTTGCCTTGATTCATGTAACCAGAGCTCCCCTTTCCGCTGGTTATTGCTGAAACCCCCGTACCTTCTCCCTGGGCCAAGACAATTAAAAATTGAATGAAAGAGATGCTCTCTTTTGCCCAGTAGTGTTAGCCTACTGCCTCTAAGACAGGTTATTATTTTTCTCCCTGGATATTAAGTTTGAAGAGTTTGTCAACAAAATAAAATAAAAGGTAATTACTTTTTCTATGTTTAGTAATAAAAATAACTGACCCATCCAACTTATGTGCCACTCTCCGACACACTTTATACACCCTAACTCTTTGTATCCTCAGAATGGGGTGTGGTAGGTGCTGGTTTTGTCCTCACTTTACAGATGGGGAAACTGAGGCACAGAGAGGTGAATACTTGCCCAGATTTCATAAGGGGTGGAGCGAGTGTTCAGACCCAGAGCCCATGCTCTCAGCCACTCTTTCCCAGCCAGTACCTCGATGCAGCTGGAAATAACCAATGTTGCGGACACATTTTTATCCCCCAAGAGTGCACTTCAATTAGTCCATGAGCTTCATTAAAGGCCCTGTCTTGTGTTGACTTATTAAGTCCATATGGCAGCCCTACGAGCACATCTTTACTCTGTTTTATAAATGGGAAAACTGAGGTGCAGACAGCTGATCAGTGTTCGTGGTTCCTAGCTGGTCAGAGGCGGGGCTGTGAATGGGGCAGCCTGACCCTAGGACCGCGCTCTTTCCCGCATCCCTCAAGGTACATGTGTCATTTCCATTCAGTGCAGCTTAAACTCTTCATTATGACCTCCCTGGAGTGTCCGTGGGGAACCCCGGACCCAGCCTGCCTAGTTCCCAGCTTTGCAAACTCCAGAGGGTCTATGCAGAGCTTTCACATGGCATCTCCCCAAACCTCCTGCATTCAAGGACTCTCCAAGAGCAGTGGTTCTCAACCTGTGGGTCGCGACCCCTTTGGCAGTCGAACGACCCTTTCACAGGGGTCGCCTAAGACCATCCTGCATATCAGATATTTACATTACGATTCATAACAGTAACAACATTACAGTTATGAAGTAGCAACGAAAATAATTTTATGGTTGGGTCACAACATGAGGAACTGTATTTAAAGGGCCAGAAGGTTGAGAACCACTGCTCCAAGAGCATGTTGTCCAGAGACTCCATGTTTGCAGTCACCCCGTTAAGCCCCTGGGACACAGTGATCCTCCTACACACTTTATACATACTAACTCTTGCCTGTCTATCCCGGGCCCCAGTCAGCGCACAGGGGGAGGGGACGGGCATGGCCACTGAGTGCTTGGCCACCGAATGTGACGCTATTGCTTTGGCACTGCCCTGGGCTGCTTATTTCCAAGTGATGGTTTATTCCGGTTCGACAGGAAGAACATACTAAAAGCAACAGACAGAGCAGACGGCTGGCATTATGTAGCAGGAAAGCTATGCAGCCAACCCTATGGCCCACCAGGGAGAGGGCAGGCCTGGAGACAGGGCGGCTCAGCACGCCAGTTACACCCATTTCCTCCTCCCCCACCGGCCAATCACAAGGCCCTTGCTCCTTCCTGAGTGAATTTCTCCGGAATTTCTGAGTCTCCATTTCTTAGATTAGGCTCATTAGCATTCGTCCTTCTTTCCTCCTCAAAACGGGGTAAGGTGATAGAAAACTTGAGGTCAGAATCTATGATTCTGTTCCTGACTCCAACATGGTCTGGAGAATGGGACCAACTCCTCCTGAAGCCAATGAGTCACAGTAAATACTTTCCTTAAAAGGTAGGGTGTGAATCAGTAACCATACAGACAAACAAATAAATAATGTCCCGTTTCAGCAAAATCATCCTAATTCAGACAGCAGTCACCTTAATTCGTTCATCAAATATTTGTTGTACATTTACTGTGTGCAAAGCATTGTGTTAGGAGCTTTGAGATAATCAAAAGTGAATCAGACATAAATCCTGTCTTCCTGCCCTCATGGTGATTGCCATTTGTCACTTACATAAATAACTGGACAAATCAGAAAGTAACATGCTGTAAGAGAGGTGGCAATAAGGTAGTTGGGATTCTTGAGATGGAAGAGAGGGAAAGTTGTAATAAAAAAATGCTATATAGCTGGGCCAGTGTGGCTCAGTGGTCGAGCATCAACCCATAAGCCAGGAGGTCAAGGTTTGATTCCTGGTCAGGGCACATGCCCAGATTGCAGGCTGGATCCCCAGTGTGGGGTGTGCAAGAGGCAGCAGATCAGTGATTTTCTCTCATCATTGAGGTTTCTATCCATCTCTCCCTCTCCCTTTCTCTTCCTCTCTCTGAAATAAACAAAAACATATTTTTAAAAGGAAATCATTTTTAAAAAGCTATATAAATAGAACAGAGATCATTATGTATTAAGCTAGCACAGGAAAATGTATCCCTGATATGATGAGAATTTTGCCCACAGAGAACTGATTCTAAATAGGGAAGCCCAACATGATTCCACTGTGTGTTTTGTATCATACTGGTCCAGTTTGTGTTTTTATGCCCACTGGGTTAGACACGGAATTCTGTACGGTTACTAGTCACCGTGGGTAAGTAATGCTTGTCTCAGCCTAGTGCCTAGATATTTGGCCACCTTTGACATTTCAGGCTGTTTTCTGACTGTGTACATAACCAACGCAGTCTGTAAGTGATCACATTCCAGGGATTTATAAATTAAGTGACTTCGGGCAGGTCAGTTCATGTCTTTCAGCCTCAGTTTCCCAAATAAAAAATCAAAGATGTTGGAATGCCTCATCCAGCTCTGCATTCACTCATGTGAATTGACACCAGCAAATTCTAGGATTGATCTAAATACATGTCACATGCCTTTTAAAGTAGCTAAACATGCATCTTTGGAGGTTTTTGGTATCCTAAGAGATCTCCTAAGGATTTTTATACATAAGCAAGTAACGTAAGAATTTTCACTGAGTGTAGTGTTTGCACACACACACACACACAGAAACACACACACACACACACACACACACACACAGAAACACGCAGACACACCACTGCCACCACCAGGCAGCTTTGGTTGGATCAAGTCCAAATCCCTCGGGATATAATGTATCTGAATTTATTAGAGTTTAGGCTATTTCCCTCAACTCTGCCATTGAAAAACGTTCACAATAACGCTCTTCACCTCTCTTGCCCAGAGGCCTGTGTTGTCAGAGCAACATCAGAGAAGAGAAATCACACGTGTCAGCTGCCTGGCCTCTTGGTTGGGATGATGTCACCGGGAAGCTTTTCCGTGAAGCAATCAGCAAACCGCTAGCTTCCTCTACCGGAAGTTTGGGCTTCAGGATAGCGTTTCAGCTGCTGTGTTGTGACACATTCCAGAGTGGAATGAAGGTCAAGGGCTGTGCAAGGTTTCACTTCAAACCCACCCCTACATAGAGTAATGTACTTCCAAAATAAAGTAGGCAAGAACGCATTCGTATGAACTTTCTAACTTCAGAAGTTTAAAAAGTTACAAACTATTTCAGCTCATGGAGAGCATTTGATTACAATGATGAATGGGTTTCTCTCTCCGGCACCTGGAGCTGTCAATCAAGCCTCTTCAAGTTCAGGATTCTCCGGGAGCAATCAAAGGGCTTGTAACCTTATTGTCTGCGTGTAAGCCGTCACTCTAAGTCCCTGTGGTTGTTCAAGGATGAGAGCAGCTCTGGGAAGGTAGAGGTGGTGGTGAATCTGGTCACAGGGGCGCGTGGGGGCCAGGCACCGACGGAGGGAGGGACGCTGTCCACTTTGTAGCCTTTGACCCAGCCGCACCCAGTTTAATGGATTAACACGAACTTAAAATCTTTATCCCCAAACCCAGTCAAGTGGACACTGGTGAGAAACCGACAGCGGTCTGGGGCTGCTGAAGCCTGCCATGCTGTGTTCCCACCAAAGCAGCAAGGCTCTGGTTTGGGGGCTCTAGTGCGTCAGCCTCAGAGAAGAGCCCCCCGACACTGGCACTTACCTGAGCAGAGGCCGAGGAGCAGGAGGAGCGGCCGGGGCTCCATGAGTGTGGGCACTGGCCGGGCTGGTGGCGGCTGGTGACCGTGCTGCTTGCAGGAGTCTGGCTGGACACTTGGCGGCTGGAGGGTCTGGCCGGCCCTCGGCTGCGGGGCTATTGTTTTACACCACCTGTTCGGGCCGGGACAGCTGGGCTGGCAGAGCCTGGAGCCCAGGGCGTGGCCGAGGGCCTTACACTATGCTATGGCAGAGCCTCGCTTTACACAGTTGCTGTACCCTTGGCAAGGCGAGTGTGAACGGCATTGTGTTTGAAATGCACCGTGAGTCAGATCTTAATTTTTAAAAAAAACAGCTTGCAGTAGGGAAAGACTTATTCTGAATGGTGAGCAGCCCTCTCCCTTTTGTGGACACCAGAGCCTCAGCTCTGCAGATTGATTTGTTAGGGTCACTGGTCTGAGCAGATACCAGCTGTGTGTCAGACCCGATCCTCCTAAGTCACAGACGTCCGGTTCTGCACACAGGAAGCCCATTTGCTTCGGTTCTCGCGGGGCCGAGAGTGCCTGGGGCTCTGTGACAAAACGAATTTGAGGAGAGCGTGGTTGATACTAAATCTGCAGCTAGAGAGCCAAGGTTTGATTGGATTTGGGTTTTAACAAAGAAGGCTTCTTCCATAAAATTGGCTTCGCTGGCTTCCGGAGTGGCTGTCCCAGCCCCTCTGCAGCAGGCAGCGCCTACCCACTGTGGGCCGTTAGCAGGAGGAACTGCCCACCCCCACAGCCTGGCATTCAAGGAGCAGGAAGTAATGGCAAAGCATCCTGCTCTTGTTCCAGGTTCCTACCCCCTTCCATCCAGTCCTCTGCCCACTCTCACGCAGGGGAGCAAAGGGCAGAGTGGTTCAGCTTTTCAATTCCTTTGTTTTAAAAAAAAAATCCTGAAAGCCAGCAATTAGTAATTGCTCAGCCTGAGAGGGATTTTTTACCAAAACAGGGAGGAAGTTGTTGTGTAGATACCCTGCTTGCTCCTTCTCTTCTTCCTTCCCAAATTGGGTGGGTGAGGAAGGCCCCTCACCTCAAACCCAACTTCTGACAAATCCCCCTTTTCAGTGAGTCCAAGGGCTGGGAGGTTAGAGGACAGAGCTGAAAGTTCACATTATTAATTTTCTGTTTAAAATCGTGGGAGATCAGCTAACTTTCCACTCAAAAAATTGGTTGTCTCCCTTCAACATAGCACAGCACTGTGACTGCCTAACCAGGAGCTACCCCCCCCCCCCATCCCAGCACGCCCCGCCCCTGGCTCTGATGGACGCGTGTGACTGAGTTCTAGAAAATAAAATGTGAGAAGACATTTTATGAGCCTCAAACCTCCCCCCAGAGCTGTCCATGCTCTTCTCATCTCTGACTGCCGGGAGCAGCCATGACCCCCAGGGCAACCTTGGAACCCATGTGTTGAAGGGAGCTTCACTTTTGACATCTAGAACTTGAGTGACTTCATGGAGGAGGGCACCCCATTGTGCCAGTTCAATTCCCAGTCAAGGGCACGTGTCTCTCTCACACTGATGTTTCTCTATCTCTGTGTTTCCTCCTCCCTCCCTCTCTCTAAAAGTCCATGGGGGGAAAAAGAATAAGCTCTAAGATATGTAGCACTGCAGAGGAAGGCGAGGAAATGGATGTTGGAGGCTGAAAAGATGAAGACCCATCTCTCTATAAAAGGCTAAGTGTCCATCCATCTGACTGGTAGCTATGACACACACTGACCCCCAGGAGGCAGATGCTCAACACAGGAGCTGCCATGAGGTGCACTGGCCATTAAAATAAACAGCACCACAGGCCTGGATCTGACAAACCAACACTCGGTTTCCCCCAAGTGGGACACAGGTCCCGCCAACACCCCAGAGTGACACCCCAGCAAATCGCAGCCAACGCTGCCAAGACCCCATGGCGCAAAATGCGGCCCACAGCCCAGCCCAGCCCAGCCCGGAAATGGTAGCTGTGGGCACCGGGTAATGACGTCATGTAGCACACCCGGCTTCCTCTCCCTAGTGACTAGCCTCCTTGGAGTTTCTTTAGCCCAGGAACCCAACTTGCTTTATAGCCAGGTGCAAACATTTTATAGTTTAACCAAATGTTTGTGAATAATTTTCGCGTGCCTCATCTCATTTGATCCCCACAGAAGTCCTGGAGTAGGTAGATGGAAGACTCAGTAGAATCCTATTTTCTTTTCATTAGCTAGAAAACAGAGATTATGAAGTTTAGAAACTTGACCCAATTGAAAAGAAGTAAGAAATGGTGGAACTTGAAAATGACTTCAGGTTTTGTCACTGCGCAGAATATAGTCAAACACTGCTGCAGTTAAGTATTTTACCCTTTGTTCTCCCTGTGTGATCTACAATAATAATCTGCTTCGTGTTGATATTTACTATTCTGTTGCTGACAATTACCTAAAAAGAAGTTGGAGTGCTTCACTGGGCTGGAAAAAGTTTAGCTAAATCAGAAAGCAGGTCTAATTAATAAGTTTATTCTCTATATATAAAAGGCTAAGTTGACTTGCGCATGCGTGATACATATAAAGCTCTCACAGCGCCAATCACATGCCTGTGTTTCAATCTTTCATTGTCAGTCGTGAATTTGGTTGACACTTCTATTATAGAGGAAGGGTGAATAGTGATATTAAAATATTTCTTCTAATTAATTTCCTTTCAATGTGCAGGAACCCGTGCACCGGGACATTAGTGTTATATAATAGCAGATTACTTAATAAAATTGTTCCGTAGTTAGTTAGTGAGCAAAGTGTTACTAAGCCTGGGGCTCCAGGAGGAGAGGTTGGGAAATCCAAAGCTAGTACATGTTGATTCTTATGGCTTTGTTTAGTGAGTCGGCACAAGTAAGAGTGAAACGCAGGAAAGAGGTGGCTGGTTCAAGAGCAGAAATGAAAAGGAATAGGATGAGTCCAGAAGTCTGGAGCCTTCTGTTTTGAACCCCAAAGAGTGATGACAGCAAAAGGGCTTCGAGCAGCAAAGCCCATTAAGAACTCTCACTAAACAGATAGTTTCCCCCTGCAGCCAGGAGCAGGGGAGGTACTTCACACTCAAGCCTGTGTTTCCCAGATGGCTTCAAGATGGTTGCCTTTAAGTTGAAGGAGAGGCATAGAGGTTCCAATGCAAACGTTACCAAGCTCATAACTGGCACATGGAATGACTGCAAATACTTTAGGAGCTGACTAAGTATTTGAAGGAATCGTATTGCCAAAGAGTTCATGAACCCAGCCTTAAAGCAGTGCTTGGGTACCCCAAACACGCATCTGCAGAAATCAGGCCACAGCCTCTGCACAGACTCCCAAGAGGGCACCCTCCCCATTGCCACTTAGGTGTGGCCATGGAGGTGAATGGATAAGGAAGAGCCTCCCAGGGGGCAGAGCCAGGAGCCAAAGAGCAACAAGGGAGATCCTCCCAGAGAGATAAGTCACGGTCTAATCGAGGCCCCACTGCCGCCCCTCTCAGGGTCCACCCACGCCCCCTGGCTTTCACCTCTGCGCAGAGAACTCTGCTTCTGCCCACGCCTGCAGTCCTCTGCCTCGGGGATTGCTTTTCCCCTTCTGGCTGTAGGAGCACATGGGACAAGCTGGAAGTGCAGGAGAGTGAAGCCCCCAGAAACAGCCCTCAACCACCATAGGAGGAAACGTGCCCCAGCTTCCTCACCCCTGTGATGGGGTACCTGAGGCACACTCCATGCTGGACATGTGTGGGATTGAGTCCCTGTTGCCTGTGGTGGAAGTGACTGGACTCCCTCCCTTTATCGGCTTCCTTCTCCCCTCTGCCTTACTTTCCCCACCTGTCACCTCTCAAATAAACTCCGGACAGGGTCTGCTTCTGGGGGAACTCAAATCCAGACAGAATTTCTCCCATTGTCCGGGCAGGGGATCTTCACAGTGATGCAAACGGGAGCTTATTCTTATTCCTAGTGCCTTACCACTTCTCTCCTGGTGGTGAAAAGTAAACTAAAAAAATATTAAAACTTAGTCAGAAGCAAACATATTTTTTGTTTCATTTAAAAGTTTACTATTTGAGTAATTTAAACTTACTATAGAAAAATTAGAAAACAGATGAACAACAACAAAAAAGCATTACTCACTATCCTTCTATCTAGAAATGTCCATGGTTAATAGGTTATTTTATATACATTTAGACCCTTTCTATGTATGTATGTATGTATGTATGTATATATGTTTTTCACAATCCCAAAGCACTGCTTCATGCTACTTGAAGTCAAAAGATTTCCTTTAATTTTTAGTTTTTTTGTGGATTACCACTGCTAGGGAAATGCTACTTCCAGGAGATTAATCTTTTCCCACTTTATTGAGGTAGAATCCTATATAATAAAGAGGTAATATGCAAATTGACCCTCACGCCCTTGCATCATCACAAGATGGCCACCCCCACGTCATCACAAGATGGCCAGCAGGGGAGGGCAGTTGGGGGCGATCAGGCCAGCAGGGGAGCAGTTAGGTGTCAATCAGGCTAGCAGGGGAGTGGTTAGGGGGTGATCAGGCTGGCAGGCAGAAGCAGTTAGGGGCAATCAGGCAGGCAGGCGAGCGGTTAGGAGCCAGCAGTCCTGGATTGTGAGAGGGATGTCCAACTGCCGCAGGGATTGGGCCTAAACTGGCAGTCGGACATTCCCCGAGGGGTCCCAGATTGGAGAGGGTGCAGGCTGGGCTGAGGGACACCCCCCCCTCCAGTGCACAAATTTCATGTACCAGGCTTCTAGTTGACAAATAAAATTGCAAGATATTTAAAGTATACAATGTGATGCTTTGATATATACATGCACTGTGAAAGGACTCCCCCCATACATTCATTTATTAAACATTTTTAGTTATTGAGCATTGCTATGTGCCAAGCACAGTTCTAGGCATTTGGGATGCACCAGTAAACAAAAGAGACAAAGATTTCTGTTCCTCAGGAAAAATGCATTCTAGTTGGAGAAAATAAATGAATATCTATACATATATACATACATACATCCATATATATTTAATAAGGAAATTGTTTGGTATTTTATCAGGTAAAAAATACTATGGAAAAAACAAAAAGTAGAGCAGGTGAGGGGGACAAGGACA